TTAAACTGGTCCTTTGCTGGTTTAAACTGGTCCTTTGCTGGTTTAAACTGGTCCTTTGCTGGTTTAAACTGGTCCTTTGCTGGTTTAAACTGGTCCTTTGCTGGTTTAAACTGGCCCTTTGCTGGTTTAAGCTGGTCCTTTGCTGGTTTAAACTGGTCCTTTGCTGGTTTAAACTGGTCCTTTGCTGGTTTAAGCTGGTCCTTTGCTGGTTTATGCAGGTCCTTTTGCTGGTTTATGCTGGTCATGTGCTGGCAAAGGACCAGCATAAATCAGCAAAGGACCAGCTTAAACCAGCATCCCAGCGTCAAAACATACCTAACCAGCATATGCTGGTTTTTTCAACAACTACTGATTTCTACAAAAATATGATATAGGCCGAAATTAAGCTGTAACAAAAAACTGCTTGTGCGATTGTGTGTTAAGCCTTTTAACTATGAAGACATTTAACAATCACATACTTTTGAAGGAACCACATGAAAACATACATGATGACGCCACTCAGTTCTTACGTACAGTATGTGTCTCTGACGACATTCATCACTGTTATACATCCAGCATGGACTCAAACTCATCTATTCTCTGCTTTGTGTTTCCTCTCTTAATCTTCCTGTAGCTGACAGTGTTGTACCTGCAAATAGGGCGGTTGTTTTCGTCCTTCTCAAATTGCCGGATTGACATCTCGACCGAAGCCTGGAAACCATCAGCCGATTCATCCTCTTTTTCCTTCGCATTTTCCTCTTCATTCTGATCTCCATTGTTCACACTTATTTCTTCTTCATTCTTTTCTGCATTGTTCTCACTTATTTCTTGATCATTTTTATCTGAATTATTCTCACTTATATTAGCCCGGCTCTTCAGGTGTGGTCGTCTCTTGAGGTGCTTCTTCTGTTTGACCATTCATTTGCTCTTTCTCAGTTTCCAATGTGCCCTTGTCGTTCTGCTCCATTGATGTCACTTCCTGTCCTGTGATTGCAGCAGTAGTTGTAAATGTATAAAGGAAAAGAGACACAATTCCTCAGTTCGAATTCCAGTCCATTTACCCCAAAATCAACAGATGTTCGAACCAAACTGACAAGAAACGCAGATGTAACATGCCTGCAGTGATTGGTTTCTATATTAAAATGATAATAAACAAATAAATAGGTGTTTCTGTGCTGTAGTTTCACCAGTTTACCTGACAGATGACAGTCAATGTCTATGCCTTCGATCAACACAATGGTTTGTCATGTCCAAATTAGGAAAGGGCTTTTGGTAAATCCTCAACAGGATAGGATGAGACTTGTCAAAAGATGCAAAGTTGTTTTGAGGAATTTTAATTTGATTGGACTAAACAAAGCCAACTGCTGGAATGTGAACAGCAAGTACACAATTCTTCCTGTGTGTTTCAACAAGGCCTTACATAACATGCAAGAAATTACAAATGTGCCATTCGGTTGCATAAATACAGAAAAGCAAGAATATCTGTCCAAGTAACCATGTCTAGACATCTTTCAAATTACATTTTGAAAGTATCATTGCTGTTCTCTTCATGGTTGTGAAATTTTTCTTACCAAAATTAGTTTTTCCTCAACATAAAACAACTTATGCACTTTGAAAAGTAAACCAAACCACCTGAATGTGAGAAGTTAACATATACCTTCATCAAAACCAATGACCAGTCTATGGAGGAGATTTGCATTGTTAGTACAAATGCAGAAACCAACCACCACTTTGACGCAAACTCTACAACCGCATTGTACTCGCTCAATAATGTATCTTACCTTGTTCGTGTTGGCTCTGTGGCACTATGTTAGTAGGTCTGACTCCGGTTCCTGTGAGAGCAGACCTTGAAGGAGAAGGATGCTCAGAAGTAGTCTCTTGTGGTGAGCAGTCTGTGCATGGCTGTGTCTGTGTCCCTCCCTTCACGACTCAGTGGAATTTACAGGCATTGTGTGACGCAGCCTCATTCTCATTCCCAGTGGCAAAGTTGATGAGAATTTCATCCCCATTGTTTGGAGAACAGTGTTGTTTGGCTTCTAATTCTTGGAGGGAGCATGGGATTGTGGGATTAATGGGTTCAATGGTAGAGACAGGACATTCAGTTCAAAAACTGGCACTCTCTATTTTGAGCTTCTTTCCGAGGATATTCAAATATTTCGAAACAAAATATTTCATGTCCCGGTGTTCTTCTACTGCAACGTTTTGTTTTCCTAGACTTACACAAGGATAACAGGCTTTCTGTCGTATGGATATTATATTTTCACAGTCCAACATCTTTTGGAGGTGTCAAATAGTCAGCCTCCTGTTTGCGGGAAGCGTGTGTCTATTCTGCTTTTTATTTTTTATTTTTCCACTGTTCCATCGTGAAAAAGAAGTGTGCTTACAGGTAATTGTACTGAATGTGCTCTTGTAGTGTACTTTAAATCTTAAAAATATGTTTTACAAAACAGATAATATAATGTTATTGAAATAAAAGGCCATATAAATGTACTTAAAGAGAGAACATTTTCATGTTTCTCAGCACAGTTAAGTGCCCTTTAAAAAAGTGCACATTGTAATAAAGCAAAAATGATCTTAACTTACTTTAATGTCTTGACTAACAAGACACTACACCACATGTAAAGTACTCAATTATAATTATAACTGTACACTGTAAAAAAAATCTGTGACATTTACGGTAAAATACCGGCAGCTGTGGTTGCCAGAACTTCACCGTAAAAAGTATAATAGCAACATTTGAGGTTTTACAGACTTCACAATAAAATACCGTGTTTCATTAACTGATTTAATGTTAATAAACCATCATATTGAAGTGTTAATATCTGTTTTGAACCATTGTAATGCACTGATAACCACCAAAAACTGGTCGTGATGAGAAAGTCACATGAAAGTCACAGTCACATGTTTGTGATGAACCGAAGCTCATCACAAACAGCTTTTCTACGAGCTAAGGAGGGCAATACTTTTATATAGAAGGTGGACAGTGTCATTCACACAAACACTAAACCCCATCATGGTGACACATATGATACTGAAATAATGCAATAAACATTCATTTAACAACATTAGATGTAAGATTAAACCCTAATGTACACAACTGATAAGAAAAAACATGTTATTTCAACAAAAAAACATCAAATATGATGCATCATGCAGGGAATTCTGGGAGTGTCAATTTACGGTTTTTCATTGTAAATTATAAAATTGACTTTTTCTTTTTCACTTTCAAAAAACTTATTTTTAACAGTATTTTACTGTAAAATTACATTAAATGTAATTACATTTATTCACCGAATATAGTATGGAAACTTACTGTTAACCAGTTAACGGGTTTTTACTGTAGCATTTTTACAGTCTTTTACTGTTAAAATCACAATCATTTTTTACAGTGTAGAGTGTTATTTGATATTACATTTAAAGTAACACATTTTCATTAATTACAAATATTTTAATACATGACATGCACGATTCAATAGCAATGGCAAATGTATTTATTTTATTTTACTATAAATGCTTGTTGGTGCATTCAGCAGTACACTTTAACCATATTTCAATAAACCACTAGAAGTAATTATGAAATGACATATAACATATATAAGTCCTACTTAAGTGTGTCAAAAAGAGGCACAGTAAAGTATTGTTAAGTATACTGCATTTAGTATAAATTTAAACTCTCCGTGTTTGAACAAACACAATAACTAGATGCTCAAATCTTACATATAAATGATAAGCAAGTCTTCATTGTGATTGGATAAACATTCCCTGGGTTATCTAAGAAATTACAACACTTACTTCAACACTTACTGTAAAGATATTCTACAAAGTCTTTTATGAAGATAAAATTAGGTGTCAGAGAGGTCGAACACAGAATGAGGCATCAATTATACTGTCAATCATGTCTTATAAAAGTGGTGAGAATGCTAGGGTTTGTCTCTGAGACGGGATGTATACAGTCAATGACGTGTCATTTCCTGCCATGCTTAAGATCTATGTGGTGAATGAGAAATGCATCTGGTGTTTTACCACTGACTGAGATGATATCTGGGAAACTTACATGTTCAGCAGAAGTAAACAGCAGACGAATCAACTTATGCAAACCACCTTCAGCAAGATTAAGTGTACTGTGAGAAACAGCCCAAGTAGAACCAGCGTGTGCTACAAAGCAGCAAAACATCAGTTTGTTATAAAGGTTTATTAAAGAAGCATGATATAAATATGAAAATGAATAAATATTAGTGCACTTTGTATATAAATACACACATTTAGACAAAATATATATTAGATCAAATGAAATAAACTGATTGCTTAATAGTGCAAAATAGACAAATACAGTACAGATAATACTAAATGCAGTATGATTAAAATATATAGTTAAATAATTCCATCTTATACTGTACATCGATATTTAGCTTTTCATTCACCAATTCAAACCATGATGTAATACTGAATTTAGAAATACAGAAAATATAGGGCCCTGTCTCAACAGGGTCTCTTATGGGGTCTCCTTGACCATATGGCCAGGATTGCTTTCTTGGACTAACTTTAAAATGATTCAGGAGCACAGGGTACACAGAGAAAGAAAAAAAACCTGTTAAGCATGAGGAAACCTGTTTTGTTCATGATTCGCACAGTTACCCAATACAACAACATTACCGTAAATAACAACTGATGCACAAGTTACGCAAGGCAGAATCAGGACAAGAATGATTATAGCGTTATACGCCCACACACACACACACACACACACAGATGCTTTTGTTGGCATCCTGAGGGCAAAGTGCGGCTTTATGGGGAAATGATGCATTTCTGTTGTGGGTAGTTTATACCCACATCTCTCTGTCTTACTCTCACATATGAACACACACCTCCTGTCAGATGCACTTCCTCTGCGATGAGTGTCTGAAGCTCTTCGCATTTCTCTGTAAACTGTTGCTGTAGTGTGGTGTAAATGTGAGGGGGAAACACAGAGAAAGAAAAAAAACCTGTTAAGCATGAGGAAACCTGTTTTGTTCATGATGATAAACAAGAAACATCTTGAGAGGAACAGCTAAAATAACCCCAGTGTTTTCAAACATAATCAGTCATAGCCGCATGTATTCGCTTAGCTAAGTTAGCTGTCGAGCTGATTCGCGGGTTAACTGGATCATTTAAGCACGCATTAAAGGGTAATAGTTCGGCTGACCTTCTATTTGGTGTAAATGCTAAGCACTTAACTTTCTCTTTCTGCAATTTCAGAGCTATCAAACCACCACTGACCACCAAGACACCCAGTCATGGCTGCCGAACCTAATTATCGCCGGACAAAACCGGGTAACGGCCCTTCTGAGGAAAAAGCAATATGCTGTTATCTTTTTTTACACATCACTTTATACCTACATTGCTGTCACTTAATACATGAATGGTGTTTTCCCAAAACATTTCTGATTAAGGCAAGTAATAGTACAAATGTTATAATTTCTTTGTAGGTGTTAGGACAGCTAACCTTGCTAGTTCAAATGGAGTTGGGCCCTCATCACAGATTCCGGGATTATCTGCATCTGCCGCCGACATCACTCCTGAAGAAAAATCTAAAGGAAGACGTGTAGGAATTCAGGCCTCTGACTCGGATTATGTTAAACTTGCAAAACAAGGAGGACAGAAGGGTAATTGTGTCACACTTGTATAAAATGTGTTGTTTTCATATTTATCTTTTCATATTTCAACTTTGCCAAGATTGACAATTTGTTATAAGTGAAGTATAGATTTACAGAATGACCAACTGCTATTGCAAACATGTTCAGGATCGAAAACAAAATGAAAATCTTAAAATCTAATCTGTGCACGGTATTTTGTGACTTATATGTTTGATCAAATGGCCAATAGTTAGGACATTTTTACACAGAACTGGATTACAAAAAGTGCAATCAGTTTATAGATGATGCTTGGGATCGTGGTGCTGCTTTTGTTACTAAGTGACCAAGTTTACTCGCAAGCTAACTGATAAACAAGAAAAATCCTTAAAGAAATAGTTTCTACTTTTAAAACACACCCATAATTATATCCTGCTTATCTTTCAATTCTGCCATAGGTTTGCTGAGGCATGATGGAGACCCTATGGAAACAAAACCTAACAGTTCCTACAAACCCGCTAGTTGGTTCGCTGACACACCTGATGATCAAGAGAGGTGAGAATTTGTCAGCCCATACGGTGTTGTTTTGTACAGAAATAATAAATGAAGCCAAAGGCCTTGAAAATACATCATTTTGATAAAAAAAAAGGATCCTAGATAGATTAGAAGAGATCTCAATTCATTACAAATTGTTTGGCAATAAGGCACTATGAATGTGTCAATTAGTTCTGGTATTTAAAGGAACTGTTCTCCCCAAAATGAAAATGTAAGTTGTAGATGAGTTTGTTTCTTTATCGGAACAGATTTGCAGAAATGTAGCATTACATCACTTGTTCAGCAATGGATCCTCTGCAGTGAATGGGTGCCGTCAGAATGAGAGTTCAAACAGCTGATAAAATCATCAGTTATCCACACAACACCAGTCCATCAATTAACATCTTGTGAAGCAAAAAGCTGCGTGTTTGTAATAAATAAATGAATCATTCAGATGTTTTCAATTTCAAACAGAGTCCTCTGTCGATTATTGTTGCTTTATCCAGTAAAAAAGTATGAAATATGAACAGATAATGCTCCATTTACAAGCAAAAACAGTCCAAAACAGAGGACAACAGGGTATGGAATTTTTCCTTAGAGAAAGCGTTATTAAGGATTATAGACTGTTTTTTTAGGGGGGGGCTAGAAGCAGTGGTTTAAAGTTAAAACTTCCTAATGATGGATTTGTAACGTATTACAAACACACAGCTTTTCTCTTAACAAGACATTAAAGGATTAGTTCACTTCCAGAATAAACATTTCCTGATAATTTACTTACCCCCATGTCATCTAAGATGTTCATGTCTTTCTTTCTTCAGCCACAAAGAAATTAAGGTTTTTGAGGAAAACATTCCAGGATTTTTCTCCATATAGTGGACTTCAATGGTGGCCAACGGGTTGAAGGTCCAAATTGCAGTTTCAATGTAGCCAAGGAATGAGGGTCTTATATAGTGAAACGCCCTGTCATTTTCTTAAAAAAGATAAAATATTTATATACTTTTTAACCAGAAATGCTCATGTTGCACTAGCTCGACTTCACGCATTACATAGTCACGTTGGAAAGGTCACGCGTGACGTAGGTGGCAGTATCGACCCAGTGTTTACAAAGCGAACGTGCAAAGAAAGTCAAACGCCCTTTACAAAAAAAGGTAAAACAACGATGTCGGACGATTTTGAAGTTGGAGGAGAAAATGAGATGGAGTTTCTCATCCTAGCCTACCTTTTTGAACCAAGAGTACACAGACGAAGCGCTAACCTCGAGTGACCTTTCCAACGTGATTATGTAATGCGTGAATTTGCGGACGCGCATTGCGGAGCTAGTGCAAGACAAGCATTTGTGGTTAAAAAGTATATATATTTTTATTAGAAAATGACCGATCGTTTCACTAAATAAGACCTTATTCCTTGGCTGGGATCGTGTAGAGCCCTTTGAAGCTGCATTGAAACTGCAATTTGGACCTTCAACCCGTTGGGTCCCATTGAAGTCCACTATATGGAGAAAAATCCTGGAATGTTTTCCTCAAAAACCTTAATTTCTTTGCGACTGAAGACAGAAAGACATGAACATCTTGCATGACATGGGGGTGAGTAAATTATCATGAAATTTGTATTCTGGAAGTGAACTAATCCTTTAATTGGTGAACTGTAGTCTTGTGGATTATTGTGTTTTGATCAGCTGTTTGAACTCTCATTCTGAAGGCACCCATTCACTTCAAGGATCCATTGGTGAGCAAGTGATGTAATGCTAAATTTCTCCAAATCTCTGAAGAAACAAACTCATCTACATCCTTTACATTGAATGGTAAAGGATAGTAGTTTTTTTTTTCATATTCCTTTAAGGCTTTCTAAATCTAGCATGACATATTCAAGCAGTTCAACATTAATCTGGTCCATATAGAGTGACATGGAGGACCTACATTCTTCTCTCAGAAAAATATTAGTGTTGTTTTGAGACAAAAGGGTCTACCCCCATCCATCCAGTGTGGTGGTGTGAAACTGGGGTTCAATCATGTGATCTTATGCTTACAGCGGAAGTAATGCAACTACCCCTGATGGAAAAAAACAGTAATATTGTGAAATATGATTACAATTTGAAACAACCTTTCTGTTTTAATATATTTTGAGATGTAAATTATTCCTGTGATGGCAAAGCTGAATTTTCTCATCTTAATTGTCACATGATCCTAATCCTTGATGTTAAAAAGAACGTCTCAGTTACCTATGTCACCCTCGTTCCCTGAAGGAGGGAACGGAGACGTTACGTCAGTAGTGACTGACGAATTGGGATCTTCGCTAGAGAGCCCAATCACCTTCAAGTGTTAACAAAACAAGCCAATAAGTGTTGGCGTGCGATCTTTGCGTCGCGCCCCCCGCCTGGCAGCGCGGGTATATAAGGAGAGCGCGTGCAGACGCACATTCAGTTTTTCACTGAGGAGCCGAGACGGTGTGCCTCGGCCTTTCAGCGGTGGTACAGCAACAGTGGCGACGGAACGTAACGTCTCCGTTCCCTCCTTCAGGGAACGAGGGTTACATACGTAACCGAGACGTTCCCTTTCAGTCAGTCACGTTCGACATTACGTCAGTAGTGACTGACGAATTGGAATCCGTATGGAAAGCGCCACTCTTGCTGACCCCCTCCAGTGCCCTGCGAAAGCCGGTAAGTCCCCCCACACCAGTTGGGGCGGAAGATAGGACAGGGCTTAGGCAGAGGTGTCCACCACTGCTGTTCCGTACAGTGGGACATTGGATAACACTGGGAAAGCGTACCCAAGTAGGGGAACGCTACGGAAGCCACATCCTGTGTATAAGAGGTATCATGTGGAATTACACATATGGACTGGCCCCAGGGCAGTGCTACATAGGGAAGTCCCTCAGCCTGCCCGGGGTGAGATACTACGCAGCAGAGATGGCAGAAAATCTCTACTAGGGAAAGACATGGGCTTACCGTGAGGGAAGCCATACCATGGAAAAATACACATGTGGGATCACCCGAAGGGGGAATCACTACACAGGGGCACCTAGCCCAGCACAAGGGCTGACCTTGGGCATACACACGAGTGCTGGACCTGGCGTCTGGCGCTCCGCCACGCCTGACCACTGAGGGTGCGGGAGGAACTTCAACAGAGTTCACCAAAAGGGAAACAGAACTGAGAAGCACTTAAGCGCACGTATCTGGTCCATAGTGGGGAATGGCGGAGCAAGCGTGATGGACACCGAGCGGGTCCGGTGTTACTGACAATCTGAGGTAAGTACACGAGAGGACACGGGCTCTACACAGAGATTATAGAATCTCGCAAACGTGTTAGGTGTCGCCCAGCCGGCAGCTCTACAGATGTCTGCTATCGAGGTGCCTTGGGCCAATGCCCAAGAAGATTCCACTCCTCTCGTGGAATGTGCTCTCACTCCGAGGGGGCACAGTAAACGTTGGGCCTGGTATGCTAAGACTACAGCCTCCACTATCCAGTGGGCAAGTCTTTGTTTGGAGAAAGCCTTTCCCTTCTGCTGTCCTCCAAAGCAGACAAAGAGCTGGTCTGAGGTCCTGAAGCTCTGCGTATGGTCCACGTAAATGCGCAAAGCACGAACAGGACAGAGCAGAGCAACGGCTGGGTCTGCCTCCTCCTGGGGCAGCGCTTGCAAGTTCACCACCTGATCCCTGAAAGGCGTGGTGGGAACTTTGGGCACATATCCAGGCCAGGGTCTCAGGACAACGTGAGAGTCGGCCGGCCAGAATTCAAGGCACGAATCGTCGACCGAAAATGCCTGCAGGTCCCCGACCCTCTTAACTGAAGCCATTGCCGTGAGGAGCACTGTCTTTAGCGACAGAAACTTAAGCTCTACTAACTGCAGAGGTTCGAAGGGCTCCTCCTTCAAGGCCGTCAGGACCGAGGGGAGATCCCAAGAGGGTACCAGGTGGAGGCGCGGAGGATTCAGCCTCCGCGCACCCCTAAGGAACCTGATGATCAACAGACTTGTCACCTACTGCATTGTGATGTGCGGCGATAGCGGCAACATACACTTTGCGGGTGGAGGGAGACAGCCTTCGCTTCAGCCCTTCTTGCAGAAAGGAGAGCACGACTGCGATCGGGCATCTACGGGGGTCTTACCAGGTTCCACTTCAGTGCGTAGGCGTGCCTCTTTGAGGGCGCTCTAGCTGAAGTGATAGTGTTAACTACCGCTGGGGGCAGATCACCTAGAACCTCCATGTCCCATCCAGAGACCACACGTGGAGATTCCACAGGTC